GTCTGAGACTGGAAAACCTAGGAAGAGAGCCAAGGTAAAAGAAAGAGGAGGCAGAACTCCTGCCTGCAATTTTCTTAGAGAATATTGTATCCAGCCATGTCACAAGACTTTGCCTTGGGAGCCACTGTGAGAGCTTAGATGTTCCGGTCACCTGAGAACTTGCAGAAGCTGCACAGGCAGCTCTTACCTTCCCGAACACCTGCTTTTACTCTCAGGGCACATGGAGTGGTTTAGATCTGGCTGAGTATGTAAGGAATGATGCATGGGAAACCCTGATCAAGCACCCAGGCTGACTGAGCACAGGGAGTTACTCATCCCTGGGGCTGTTACCTTCTCCTCAGACAGATCAAGTCAGCAGATTCTGCTGTGCACAGGGAACGTGCTAGTCTGACGAGATGGGCCCTCTGTGTACTCAGAGGTTGTTACTAAGCCATTCATCAGCTCTACTTTGACTTTATTTTGGGTCTCCTTTATGGTGGTTGATCTCTGTATGCCCCCATCTTTGGGACTCCAAAGCTCTCTCCAGCCCTCTCAGTTTGCAGGAAAATAGAAGAGACTCCAGCAGCTGTTCGTTGTGAAGTCTGATGGATGGAAAGCTCTTTCCTCTCCTGAACTGCAGCCTTTCCCTGATGTAGTCACAGGTAGTAACTCGTTTTCCATTGAGTCATGCACACTGTTTTATACATTATTAGTGCATAAGAAGAGTCTGGAAAATTGTGTTTACAGAGCCTCTTGATGAATGGATTACCTGAGTCAGTACATATTTATTTTAGAAGGTGCATTAGCCATTGGGTTACATTAGGCCTGGTGACTAATTTTTGTTAAACATGACCTTGGGCTGTATGAAAAGATTCAGCTCTTTGTCCAGAGTAGGCCAAACAATTCTACAGAATCACCTTTCAGGGCTGGAAGGCTGGAAGGCCGTGAAAGCTCGCATGACCCAATCCCTTCTTTTTCATATAAGGAAACATCTAGACAAGTGAATCGATGACTTAGGTCTTACAGAGAGTAAATGATAGGAACAAGGCTCTCATGCAGGTCTCCTAATTTCCAGGCCAGTGATATTTCCCCCGTCGTTAATATCATTGTGCTTTTTCATTGTTAGCCATCAAGCCTTAATCCACTTTACACTACTCTCATTTTAGATCGTGAATCCACCCAGGAGTGCTGGCCCTGAAGACACCCATAATCCCTGGCCTTTACCTTCTGTTCCACTCTTGTCTCGAGCTAATGATTACAAGATTGTGAGCGAAGGGATTGAGGATTTAGTCCTCATTGTAAATCCCATCTACTCTAAATAAAATCGAAGGAAGTGTATAAAGTTGAACACAGTTAATCATCCATCAACCTGAAGGGGCTCCATTAAGGACTAATGTGCTATAGTTAAGAAAAACAAGGGCGAGTGTTTGGCACAGCAGTCAAGAGGCCGCTTGGGCCACCCTGCATCTCATATCAGAGCACGTGGATTCCACTCCCAATTCCTAACTACAGCTTAACCCAGCCTGGCTGTCACAGGCATTTGGAAAAATGAAACAGTGGATGGAAGATCTCTCTCTCTCTCTCTCTCTCTCTCTATTTCTATCTTTATCTTTGTGTCTTTCTGCCTTTCAAGTAAAACAAAAATAAACAATTTTTTTAAAGGAAGAAAAGTAAAAATTACTTTCTATTGTTAAGCGCATGTGCACACACCCTTGGCATATCTATACCATATTACTGAGAATAATTTCTGATGATGTCCTCAGTCTTGCCATGACTCCTATTAGTTTATAACACAAATTTTTGTGTTGTCTGTGATCTCTAGAGTCTGAAGAGTGTTCTTTCTATTTGAATGGTTGCAGAGAAGAGTGAGAAAGCCCTTCCATACATATTTTTTTTTATTTATTTAATGAGCATAAATTTCCAAAGTACAGCTTATGGACCACAATAGCCTCCTCCCCTCCTGTGTCTTCCCTCCCATCCACAACGCTCCCCTCTCCCACTCCCTCTCCCCTTCCCCTTCACATCACGATTAATTTTCAATTATCTTTATATACAGAAGATCAATTTAGCGTATGTTGAGTAAAGATTTCCACATTTTGCTCCCACACAGAAACACAAAGTGTGAAATACTATTTTTTGTTAGAAAAGCAAGTCCTTATTAGGTTGAGCCTCTCTTTTTTCAGGTTTGAGTGAGCCATTTATAGCTGCTACTGTATTTAGTACTTGCTAAAATTGGTATAGCCTTGCAAAGTGAATGGCAGTGTAGCAACCATCCGACCAAGTCTACACTTGGTGTAGCAGGATTTATACCACTCAGATTTACCATTCTAACCTTTGCTGACTACTCTTGCACTTAAGAGAGGATGGGTGAGCTTTATATCCACAGTCTCTGCACCTCAAGAGGGGGAATACATTCATAGTTTCCTAATAACGTTATTGGGGCACATAGCCTTAGAATGCTTTGCCTCTTAGTGGAACATACAGTATTTAGATAAAAAAGTATTGCAGCAGGGGACATTTTCGTGGTGCCAAAATAAGAGGACATGCATCTGGAACATGTGAAGTGATAATAAGGTTCAACTTGAGCTGATGTTGGAAGTGATTATAGCTGGCACCAGGAGGTGAGGAGACAAGATGAGGGTGAGAATAACCCTCAATATTTTGTTAGCTTTTCTTTTTTTTTCTTCTGTTTTATTTAGTAAATATAAATTTCCAAAGTACAGTTTATGGATTACATTGGCTTTCCCCCCCATAATTTCCCTCCCACTCGCACCCCTCCCATCTCCCACTCCATCTCCCATTCCATTCACATCAAGATTCATTTTCAATTATCTTTATATACAGAAGATTGATTCAGTATATATTAAGTAAAGATTTCATTAGTTTGCACCCACACAGAAACACAAAGTGTAAAATACTGTTTCAGTACTAGTTATAGCATTATTTTACATTGGACAACACACTAAGGACAGATCCCACATGAGAAGTAAGTACACAGTGACTCCTGTTGTTGACTTAACAATTTGACACTCTTGTTTATGGTGTCAGTAATCTCCCTAGGCTCTAGTCATGAGTTGCCAAGGCTATGGAAGCCTTTGGGTTTGCTGACTTCGATCTTATTCCTACAGGGTCATATTCAAAGTGGAAGTTCTCTCCTCCCTTCAGAGAAAGGTACCTCCTTCTTTGATGGCCCCGTTCTTTCCACTGGGATCTCACTCGCAGAGATCTTCCATTTAGGTCTTTTGTTGTTGTTGTTGCCAGTGTCTTGGCTTCCCGTGCCTAAAATACTCTCATGGGCTGTTTAGCCAGATCTGAATGCTTTAAGGGCTGATTCTGAGGCCAGAGTGCTGTTTAGGACATCTGCCATTCTATGAGTCCGCTGTGTATCCCGCTTCCCATGTTGGATCGTTCTCTCCCTTTTTGATTCTATCAGGTAGGATTAGCAGACACTAGTCTTGTTTGTGTGATCCCTTTGACTCTTAGACCTATCAGTGTGATCAACTGTGAACTGAAATTGATCAAATTGATCACTTGGACTAGTGAGATGGCATTGGTACATGCCACCTTGATGGGATTGTATCCCCTGGCACATTTCTAACTCCACCATTTGGGGCAAATCCGATTGAGCATGTCCCAAATTGTACATCTCCTCCCTCTCTTATTCCCACTCTTATATTTAACAGGGATCATTTTTCAGTTAAAATTTAAACACCTAAGAATAACTGTGTGTTAATTACAGAGTTCAACCAATAGTACTAGAACAAAAAAAAATACTAAAATGGATAGAGTATTACATTGCACATCAACAGTCAGGACAAGAGCTGATCAAGTCACTGTTTCTCATAGCGTCCATTTCACTTCAACAGGTTTCCCCTTTGGTGCTCAGTTAGTTGTCGCTGATCAGGGAGAACATATGATATTTGTCCCTTTGGGACTGGCTTAATTCATGCATAATGTTTTCCAGATTCCTCCATCTTGTTGCAAATGACCGGGTTTCATTGTTTTTGACTGCTGTATAGTATTCTATAGAGTACATGTTCCATAATTTCTTTACCCAGCCTACTGTTGATGGGCATTTGGGTTGGTTCCAGGTCTTAGCTATTGTGAATTGAGCTGCAATAAACATTAAGGTGCAGACAGCTTTTTTGTTTGCCAATTTAATTTCCTTTGGGTAAATTCCAAGTTAGCTTTTCTTTTTAACATTAAGAATGGAAAACTCAGACTGCTTTACTAAAAAAGGGGTGTGCTGAGTAGAATGCATGCATGCACTTCCCTATTTTCACTTGGTGTTGTCTGTCCCCCCTCCTAACCCCCCACTCCCACCCCAGGGTCCTCTGCTGTGGCTCACTGTCAGGGCTGCAGCAGCTCTGGCACCAAACACCTTGTCCCAATATGATGGTCACATGGTGCTTTTGGGTGCTCCCACTGACCCCAGATTCTGTTGAGGTGTGCACTGTGTGGTATGGGCTCTGGGTTCCAGTTGCAAGCCAGAGATCCTGGGACTCCACCTGTCAGCAGAGGTGAGTTAACACAGCCCAGGTGGAAACAGTGAGGACAGGGAGACTTCATGAGCTATGGTTAGTGTGGCAGGAGATGGTGAGCTGTGGTGGAGTCTTCCCCACTTCCCTCTTGCAGACACACATGAACTGCTGTAAGCATAGTGACCCCGTTCACCTGCTCTGAATTGTCCCATTTGACTGAACTGTGTTTTCCTTTGAGATTGCGGACATCTGAGCAGTGCACATCTTGTATTTGCTTTTCCCCATTCCTGCTTCGCTTCCTTTCTCTCTCTGTGCCCTTTCATGCTGCTCTGGGATTGCACCCACCTCCTCTAAAACGTTAATGAGGAAAATGTGCCGTGGGTTTTGTTTTCAAGGGAGAACAGGCTACAAATTGGTTTATTATGCAAGGTTTACAAGTGTAACTAGGAAGCTATGAACATAGAACATATGGTTTCTCTTTTTTCCCTTTAAATTATTTGAGAGGAAGAAAGACAGGTAGTTGGGGGGAAGGGTGCTCACCTTTTGGCTTTGCTCCACAAATGCCCACAACTTCTTGGGTGGGGGTGGGAAAGCTGGAGCTGGGAACTGGGAGCTAGAACTCAATCCAGGGCTTGCACATGGGTGCAAAGAGCCCAGTGACTTCAGCCATCACTGCTGCTTTCTAGGATGCATATTCATTGGAAGCTGGAGTCAGGAGTCAAGACTCAAATTCAGGCACCATGCTAAATGCCCACCCATGATTTCTTCTTTTAACTGAATCTGCCTGTGGACATCATAAGTGACTGTGGGAAGAGAATAACCTGGTTATATTTATTATTATGCATCTCATTCTCTGTATGTGTTTGCTTCAACCTGTTCTTCTTGATTAGCCAATTCCTTCCATTTTGCTATGCCACATCTCCTAAGGAGCCAAACTACTTGACTTAGCCAATGACTATCTGTCTCACTTATTGTGCAAATATTTTGAGCTGAGTCAGGTCAACTCATGGATTACTGGCCCCCTTCCCAGCAGGTGATCCTTGGATTCATGGCTTTCAAAGGCACAAAAGCAGCCACACTATATCCTTAAGTTAAGTTTGTTGAGAAGGGGAGGATCTATTAGAAGGAACAGCTGAATATGGCATATTCAGAAGAAAATCTATTTTATTTATTTCATTTTTAAAAGATTTATTTATTTGAAAGTGTGAGCTACATAAAAAGAGGCAGAGACAGACACAGAGACAGAGAGAGATCTTCCATTTACTGGTTTACTCCTCAGATGGCTGAAATGGCCAGGAGCTTCTCCCAGGTCTCCCATGTGGGTGCAGGGACCCAAGCACTCTGCCATCTTCTACCGCCTTCTCAGGACATTAGCAGGGAGCTGGATCAGAAGTGGAGCAGCTGGGACATGAATTGATGTCCATTTGGGATGCCAGTATTGCAAGCAATAGCTTTCCCCACTACACCACAACATGAGACCCACTCAGAAGAAATTCTGATAAAACAAAGGAGGTGGATTTTTAGCTATTGTAGCCTGGCCACCTGGGCATCTTTTGCAGGCAGGCAGTGTTTGTTCTTCACTACTGGGGCCTCCCAGGTAAATTCTATCTTGGCTGTTTTCAGTACAGAATTCAGCTTTCCATGATTTAGGCTCTGGGACAGTGACCACTTAACAAATGACAGCTAAGATGTGCTGTAGTGCAGAAAATATAAACACAGGTGAATATCCCCCATGTTGTATTTCTCAAGAGTGTGATAGTCAATCCTGGGAAAGCTTACAAAGAAGTAACCAAGATGTCTTAAGGAAGATGGTGATGTGCAGGTTAGTTTGGGGGAGTTCCCTGGTTAGAGAATAAGAAGTTATCCCAGAACTAGGAAACAAGAGCAGAAAAGGCAGAACAGAAAATGTAAAGCACGGGCAGGTTGGACAATATAGGAGGATGAAGAAAAGAGGGAGCTGGTGCCCAGCAAATGGACTCAGTGAGAAGCCCTGATGGCTATCTCAGCCCCAACTTCTAATTTGCAATGATGAGAAAGGAAGAGCTGATGGGGAGCCTTGGAGGATGCGAAAGAAGAATGATAAAAATATGCTGATGAAGCGCTTACTGTGTGCTTGACCTTATTCTAAGGTCTTTATTTGGATTGCAGTTTTTAGAGATGAGGAAGCTGAGATAGAAAAAGACGAAGTGATTTGCCTAGGGTTTTACAGCTGGAGGGTGCTAGAGACAGAATTCAGATCTAGGTAGTGGGGAGCCCAGAGCTGGTCTATGCCATTTCCATGCTGTAGCTCCCGCAAGAAGAGGCCTCATGTGGTCTTGTAGCACTGCTGTAAGGAACAACAACCCAACAATGTAAAGAAAGGTAGGGCTCTAGGCACTTGGGGAGCAGGGCATTGAGGGCAGAACTGCAGGGGCTCAAGAGGGAAAGTTTAATCTACTGCTTTCTAAGTGTGATCCACTGTGCTTCTGAAATTTCCAGAACCTAGAGCCAGGAGAGCAGCTTGAGTGTCTGCAACTTGATCATCTCTGTTGTGCATCTTGGACTTCCTCATAAGATTTCACTTGAAGAAAGGGTTCCACAGGTAGGAACATTGAGATGGAGAAGAGAGAAATGATAAGACTACTGGCCACACCTGACAGAGGCTGAGATAAGACAAGAAGCTATGTCTTAGATGTTTCTGAGAGTGTTTCTTGAGACTGGCATTGTGGCACAGTGGGTTAAGCCACTGCTTACAATGCCAGCATTCCACGTGGGTGCAGGTTCAATTCCAGGCTGCTCCACTTCTGATCCAGTTCCCTGCTAATGTGCCTGGGAAATCAGAGGATGATGGTCCAAGTGCTTGGATCCCTGCACCCACATGGGAGACACAGATGGAGTTCCAGGCTCCAGGATTTGTCTTCACTCAGCCCTGGCCATTGTGACCATTTGGGGAATGAACCAGTGGATGGAAGATCTCTCTTTCCCTCTCTCTCTCTCTCTCTCTCCCTCCCTCCCTCCCTCCAAGTCTGCCTTTCAAATAATAAACAAAATTTTTGAAAACAAATGCTTCTCCCTACCTCCTCATGTTCTACTACAGTCCACCACCCTTGCCAAACTTTCAATGACAGGAAAACCTTATGTAGGTAGAAAAGAATGCCAAGGTCAAGATCAAGCATGCTTTTGGTAAAATTTTCATTGTTTACCCAGAAGCCCATGACCTTTCTGTTAAAAGCACAAGACACAGTGACAACATAATGGCCTTGCTGCTCCCCAGGTTGCTGTGACTGTGGCTGATCCACACTGACCAGTTTCACAGTATGTTCACAGGTTTAAGGTTTCAAATCAATCATGCATTTAGAAATCCATCCATTTGTTCATCAAATACATATTTCTGGAGCTCCTTCTGGTCACTGTGCTATGGAATAATGAGGCCCTGAGGGCACAACAGTGAACAGAAGCAACGAAGTCCCTAAGATTGTGGGCCCTTAGAGCTATGCCCTGGCCACCACCAGCTACTTTCGACTGCTGAATACTTGATCCACAATTAGTCTTTTTTTTTTTAACAAAAGATTTTGTTTTAAACAAAATATTTATTTTTTCTATTTGAAAGGAAGAGTTAGAGAGAGAGAGAGGGAGAAGGATAGAGAGAGAGACCTTCTATCTGCTGGTTTACTCTCAACATGGCAGCTACGGCTGGGGCTGGGCCAGGCCGAAACCAGGAACCAGGAGCTTCTTCAGGGTTTCCCACGTAGCTTCAGGGCCCTAAGCACTTGGGTCATTTTCTACTGTTTTCCTAGGCACATTATCAGGGAGCTGAATGGGATGTGGAGTAGCCGGCACTAGAACCTGAGCCTACATGGGATGCTGATGTTGGCAGGTGATTGATTTTCCCACTATGCCACAATGCTAGCCCCTACAGTTAATCTTTACTGAGAGATACTGAAAGATAAAAGAGTCACCAGATGTCAAACATAGTACAAGAAATTTAAAGTATCTCGTTAATAATTTGAGTATTGAGTATATGTTGAAACAACAGTATTTTGGATATAAGGGGTAAAATAAAATGTATCATTAAAATTAATTTCACCTTTTTTGCATTTTAACAATGTAGGTTGCATTGTATTTCCAGAACAATGCTGGCCTGGACAGAAAGCTAAATTCTGAGCAAATAATTAGATGGGTTTTTGAGCACTGCTAAGGCAAATACAAGTGCCACTGATCAGGAGACTCTGGAACATAATTTAGTCTTCTTTAGACAGTTGGAAAGGATAGGTGAAGGGGCCGGTGCTGTGGTGTAGTGGGTAAAGCCATCGCCTACAGTGCCAGCATCCCGTATGGGTGTCAATTTGAGTCCCAGCTGCTCCACTTTTGATGCAGCTCTCTGCCAAGGCCTGGGAAAGCAGTAGAAGATGGCCCAAGTCCTTGGACCCCTGCACTCACGTGGGTGACCCAGAAGAAGCTCCTGGCTTGACTTCAGATCAGTGCAGCTCTGGCCATTGTGGCCAATTGGAGAGTGAACCAGCAGATGGAAGATGATCTCTCTCTCTCTCTCTGTCTCTGTCTCTCCTTTGCTCTCTGTGTAACTCCGACTTTCAAATAAATAAATAATTCTCTAAAAAAAAAAAGAAAGGATATGTGTAAAGAAACTTGTCCTTCCAATAAATGATTGGTTTTGTTATTTTTAGTGTTATTTTACCATCTTCTTCCCAACATCTGATTCTGTGGTGATAGAAGATAGGACAACTGAAATGTTTCTTCTTGTCCATTACAGAAAAATCCTGGACTGGTGTTGTGTAGCAGCATGTTAAGCTGTTGCTTGCAATGCTGGCATCCCATACTGGAGTGCTTGTCGAGTCCCGGCTTCCCTGCTTCTGATCCAGCTCCCTGTTAATGCAATGGGGAAGCCAGCAGATGATGGCTCAAGTACTTGGGCCCCTGCCACCCATATAGGAGACCTAGATGGAATTCTTGCCTCCTGCTTGGTCCAGCCCTGGCTGCTGTAGCCATCTGGAGAGTGAACCAGTGAATGGGTGAACCCTTGCTCTCTGCCTCTCCCTCTTTCTCTCTGTTTCTTTGCCTTTCAAATAAATAAACTAAAAAATTAACTAAAACAAGCAGACATATAAACAAACACATCAATTTTCCCCACCCTTCAGAATATCCAGCCAAAATTCCTCCTGAGGAGCGCAGGGATGAGCTCTCAGGGATTTCACTAACACCACAAACTCTCCAGTATTAACCGGGTGCCTCTTGTATTCTAGGTTCTCCCATTCAAGCTGAGAATGCACAGAGAACTAAATCAGACACCTACCTGATTTGGTGTCTGCAGCCCTGCAGCTGGAAGGCTAGTGGTACAGGTGGACATTAATCAAAGCGTTTTTGAAAGTTTCTGGGCTTGGATGATTTCTAAGGTCTCTCGCGGCTCTGTGAAATGAAATAGTTCCTTTCAAACTCTGAATCTCCTAACTCACCAGTTCCTGGCATCAAGGGCCCAAATTAACAGGAATTTGCCTGACTTGCTGGAGTGAGAATCCTTGATTTGTCTTTGGTACACTGCACTGCTCTCTGCAGAATTCATTCTGGAGGTTCCTTGCTCTCCTTGTCTGTCTGCGGAGCAGTGGGTTCAGCATCTAGTGACTGTTACTTCTTCCTCCCCAGTATTTTCACTGAGCTTATTGCTGGCCTGTGTTGAATACGGTCTTTCTTTGGCTTCAGCTTTGGCCACTTCGTTGCCCATTTTGGCCATCAGCCTGGTGCAACCTCGGGTTTGGCCTCACACAGCTTGATGTTGAGCCAAACAGCCAGAGTCCTTCACAAGGGCTGAAGTGATCGACTTAGCCAGGGGCATTCCTCTCCCCTGCTCTTTCAGCCCTGACCACTGTCGTAACTTCCAGGTTTCTGTTGTGGAGAGTGCTCAGTTAGGGGCCTCATTCATTTACACATGAATTGAGTACCTCCTCCTGCCAGGCATTGGCTAGAGATTAAGACTATGCATTCAACTGTGGGGGCCCTGTTTCGTTAGGAGGAAGGGAAAAACGAAAAGTATTTAGTGTGGTATATACACATACACATGCATGCACACTACCCACACATATACATGCCAACACACATATGCACTTATACACATGTGCACACATACACCACCAAAAGAAAGAAACAAAGATGAAATGACTGGGAATTTAGGAAAACAGAAGCTGGGATCCAGAGTGAAACTGTTTGGGGTTGTAAAAAGGGTGAAAACATAATATAAAGGGAAAAAAATTATTGAAGGAAACTATTCAATTCTTGCAGTTTTGTGAAAGACAGCAAAATATACTTAGATTAGATGGAAAAATCATATCTGGATTGTGTGGCAAAGGATGCTTCTAAGTTTAAATGTTGATCAAAGATAAAACATACACCAAATTTAAAGAATCACCTTGTTACACAAAGTTCATGACAAAAGAAAAAAATAACAGCATTTCCCACTCTCTTCCTCCCCTCCTTGCCTTGTTTGTATCATTTATTGCTGCATCATGTTTTTTCAGTCTCCACCTCCATTGTTTGCTTCCTGCTATGGAAGCAAGGCTTCTCTTGGTTCCCACCATCCTCTGGACAATGCACTTTCCCATCCCTTAGACTTCCAAGTTTGGTTAGATTTTTAGCAGTTACTTTAGAAGGATGCTACGAGGATATTTCAAAAAGTTCATGCAAAATGGAATCAAAAGACAAATTTATTTTGCTGCACAAAGCTTTATCCATGCTTACGAAGGTCTTCAAAAAGTCCCTAGAAAAATGTGTACCGGGAAAAAAAAAACATAGCTGGATCTTGACATTTTGTGAGCCAAAATAGACTTATGTTTTATTTTTCTTTCTTATTTGCATTTTAAAAATAACTTATTTTTAAAAAGTTAATAAGTGTATTATTGGAAATAGAAAAACATAGGAAGCAAAGAACAAAGTCCCCCAAAATCACAAGTAGTATAATCTGACATGTCCTTCCCGGTCCTATGTGTGTATACACAAGATCCGATTTGTGGGATTGAGATCATGCAGAATTCATCATGCTTCTCCACATATTAAGAATATCTAAGAGTCAAAGGGAGCACATAAACAAGTCTAGTACCTGCTAACACTAACCGATAGAATAAATAAAGGGGAGAGTGATCCAACATGGGAAGTGAGATACTCAGCAGACTCATAGAATGGCAGATGTCCTAAATAGCACTCTGGCCTCAGAATCAGCCCTAAAGGCATTCGGATCTGGCTGAAAAGCCCATGAGAGTATTTCAGGCATGGAAAGCCAAGACACTCTGGCAAAAGATCTCTGTGAGTGAGATCCCAGTGGAAAGAACAGGTCTTCAAAGAAGGAGGTACCTTTCTCTGAAGGGAGGAGAGAACCTCCACTTTGACTATGACCTTGTCTAAACAAGATAAGAATCGGAGAACTCAGAGGGCTTCCATAGCCTTGGAAACTCATGACTGGTGCATAGGGAGATTACTGATGCCATAGACAGGAGTGTCAATTGGTAAAGTCAACAACAGGAGTCACTGTGCACTTACTCCTCATGTAGGATCTCTGTCCTTAATGTGCTGTGCATTGAGATTTAATGCTATAACGAGTACTCAAAGAATATATTTCACTTTGTGGTTCTATGGAGGTGCAAACTGTTGAAATCTTTACTTAATGTATACTAAACTGATCCTCTGTAAAAAACAAAAAAAGAAATCATCAACTCCCAACTTGACTCTCACTGGGATTAAACATGACAATAGGTCTGATCTGATTTCATCATCATTAAAAAAATCATCTATTATTTTTCACTTTATGTTTCTGTGTGGGAGCAAACTGTTGAAATCCTTACTTAATGTATACTAAGCTGATCTTCTGTATATTAAGATAATCGAAAATGAATCTTGATGTGAATGGAAGGGGAGAGGGAGTGGGAAAGGGGAGGGTTGTGAGTGGGAGGGACGGTATGGGGGGGAAGCCATTGTAATCCATAAATCGTACTTTGGAAATTTATATTTATTAAATAAAAGTTAAAAAAAAAGAATATCTACCAATTCAAAAATCTCAAAGATGTATGAATATTTCGATAACTAGGTATCCACTATACCAACTCAAACTGTTAGGAAAAAAATGTAATCCTTTCTTGGATACAAAAATTTCATGAAAAAAAAATGGCAACAGACTTCTAAATAAAGGCAGAGTTATAATTAAAATACTGTATTCTTTTGATGTTCCATTTAAAATGAGACAGAGCAGCTGTATATACTAAGTTTAATATTTCTAAGTGAACATTACCAGATTTCTCCTATCTAAATTTTAACAGAAGGTATGTTCTTATTGAAGGACACTCTGTGTTCCTCCTATACCACAGTCAAAAGCTGTGATGTTAACACATCAATGGCTGCTTTCAGTATGTTGTGTGAACACCTCTGCAAACTTCTCTCTCTTTGTACTTCCTATTGTCCCCTCTGATGCCTTCCTGATGGCTCCATCTTGACATATGGTTCTCAGAAGTGGTTTCACAAATTCAGGTCCAGGGTGCATTCTTTTTCTCTCTCCATTGTAACAAAATGAGATTTACAAATTGGCTAAACCGTTAGCTCTTCTTCTTTATCATACATTGTCACATCTGGACATATATAACCCTTAGATGCTGTAAAGAATGAATATTGTGTCAAATAAGCACAGGCACTTTGCCAAAAATGCACCTATGGACTGATCGGTGTAACCTAAAGCAATCCTCTAGATATGGAGATGCTAGCCAAGAGCAACTCCCTTCCCCCTTCCTCCTCTTCCTCTTCCACCATGCCAGTGACAAAGTCCAGCGCTAGGACATCTATCTCCAAGATATGGATTTAAAAAAGTCCACTGCCAGAAGACAGTTCTTCCTAAAACTGAGAAAAGGATGTTGATATAAGAATTATTTTACTATCTCTACTTTTAACCCACATTACACACTAGAACTTACCTACTCTTTAATACACAGCAAATTTAAGTGAAACACACATACAGAACAATGGTTAGGCCATCTGGACAATCTGGCTGCTGGAATGACAGGGAAGACATGTAACTCTGTTTCTTAAATAGATTGTCCACAAGCCCTCTTTATTTTAGCCCTTCTTTCTCCTTATTTTTATCTAGATGGGTGAAATTTCCAAGACTGTGAGAATCTGCAATATATATCAGTTTGTTTCTAGGCTTTCTCTACTTCTGGCTTGTCTTTACCTACTCCTTTACTGGTTTCTATCTTCCAAAATGTGATCATGGTGGCTGCTTCTTTCTTCCTTGTCTTTGAGGTGTATGCTAAAAAAAAAGTCACGCATTATTATTTTAGTGGGATATTTGGGATACAAACAGTGAAAATAGATGTACTTATTAAATCCGCCATCTTTGTCTAAAGTTTTGCCAACAGTATTTAATAATTCACCCTTTTCACATAAAATGGAAACACCACCTTCTCCATAGGTTACATTTTTACATCCACTGAACTCTAGTTTTGGATTCTTTTTTCTACTAGTTTATGTTGGCAATGTTTGTTGATTTTATTACAGTAGATCTAAGTAATTTTTGTATCTCCTAAAGCAAGTCTCCCTCCTTTTTCTCTTTTTACAAAAACTGTGGATTGTTCTTGGACATTTATTTCCTGTATAAATGTTAAGATATTACCCAATTTTAAGCATACAGCAAGAAATCAGAACAAAGTAAAACAACAAAAAGCTCCTAAATCTCATGAGATGCTTATTGGAAGGACATTAAACTTGTTAGGTTATTTTTTGAGAGAATTGATATAAATTTATGTTATTTCTTTTTATCATACAATGCTACTATTCACTTAGAATCTGCTTTAAGTACTTTTATTAGATTTTAGTTTTATTTGTGTAAAGCTTTTGTTATAAAATCTATTGAATAGTTTTCTTATAGGTTTAGTAAACCTTTTCTATAAAGGACCAGATGATAACTATTTGCCGCTCTGTAGGCATTATGATCTCTTTTGAAACTACTCAACCTGGCCACTGCAATGCAAAAGCAGCCAGTGACAATACCTAAGTGAATTAATGTGGCTCTGTTCCAATAAAACTTCATTTACAAAAATGGACAGGAGACTAAATGGCTGTCCGTGGGCTGTAGTTTGCTGACTATGCTTTAGAAGTTCCTTCATAGAAAAATAGCTGCCTATTCTGAAAATGCATCACGAAATCTGGGTCCTGAATCAATCTGTCTCAGGTGCATCTCACAGAACCTGGGGTCAGAAAGCTTTACTGGAGAACACCATTTTCATCCCTAGTTTTCCCACAGTGTCTTCCAGCTGTGGCATGTTTCATAGCCTAGTGCATTTGCTGGTATTCAGGTCTGCATCCCTGGAAACTGTAGTATCTCTCTGGCATGGGATAAAAAATTGATACCTATTAGTTACATGAATGAATGAAGATGTAGGGAGAAATGAGTTGTTTTTCTTTTTTTTTTTTTTTTCAGGTTTCAGATTCTCACTGGGTACCTAGGAGAGCAGTTTATTTTTCACGGAAGAGTTACCTAAAATCTATCCAATAGGATTATTGCACAGGAGGGCCCAAGGAGAAGGATTTCAAAGGGCTAGTCCTTGTATATTATGCCCCTCTCTCACTTGACCTAGTAAACACAAATATCACGAATTTTTTTAAAGATTTATTCATTTATTTGAAAGAGTTACACAGAGAGAAGGAGAGGCAGAGAGAGAGAGAGGTCTTCCATCCACTGGTTCAATCCTCAATTGGCTGCAATGGTCAGAGCTACGCCAATCTGAAGCCAGGAGCCAAGAGCTTCTTCCAGATCTCCCACAGGGGTGCAAGCGCTCAAGGACTTGGACCATCTTCCACTGCTTTCCCAGGCCATAGCAGAGAGCTGGATCAGAAGAGGAATAGCCGGGATTCAAACTGGTGCCCATATGGGATGCAGTGCTTCAGGCAGCGGCTTTACCTGTGATGACACAGCGCCAGCCCCATTTTGAATCTTGCTTAAAAAAAGAAAGTCTTGGGATTGACACCATGGCTCATTTGGTTAATCCTCTGCCTGCGGTGCCGATGGGAGGCTAGGAGGAAGCACTGGGCTCCTGGCTTTGGATGGGCGCAGCGCTGGCCATAGCGGCCATTTGGGGAGTGAACCAATGGAAGGAAGACCTTTCTCTCTGTCTATAACTCCGCCAAAAAAATTAAAAAAAAAAAGAAAAGAAAAAAGAAAAAAAGAAAGTCCTAAAGAAAGAAAAGGAGGAAAACACTCTACCAAGGCCAATTGGGTCAGAAACAACTGCAATTACTCTTTTCACTGTCATGAAGGTCACTCATCAAATAGACTGACCATTTCAAGAACCAAGAGGAACAAATAACATGGTTATCACATGCCACTGAAATTATTTCTTAGAAATGATTTCTTCTGAGACTGGTGTTGTGGCACAGCAGGTGGAGCCACTACAGCCCACCAAAGCGGTGGTGCTGGTTCGAGTCCCTGCTGTTCCACTTCCTATTCAGTTCCCTGCTAATGTATCTGGGAAAACAGCAGCAGATGGCCCAAGTACTTGGGCCCCTGCATCCATGGGGGAGAACCTGAGGAAGCTTCCGGCTCCTGGATTTGGATCTGGCCCAGCTCCGGCCTTTGAGTCATTTGGGAAATGAACCAGCAAATGGAAGATCTCTCTTTGTTTCTTCCTTTCTCTCTGTAACTCTGCCTGTCAAATAAATAAATAAATCTTTAAACAATTATTTCTTCCATTTCTCTGTTTCTGCTATTTGTGTATCAGTACTATATTCTGACTGGGTTATCAGTGGAGGTGCCTTTCAGTCTGTCTCTTAGCTTCTGGGAGAAGTAGTGCTTAGCAGGGGCCTGAGTGCTTTGACTTTGACACACTCTAGGCTTTGCTTGTCTGAAGTGTGGAGGTCTGGTTTCCACAGGGGAGCTGTCCTATGCCTCCACAGGCTGTGTGCTGACTCTCACAGAGGGCTTGAACTAAATCAGCCTTTTCTAATCTGCCACTTATCTCCTGCAGTAGATAGAGGGGAAGAATTATCACATAGTTATCTGAAAATGCAGGAAAGGCCAAAAACTATGGCCTTCCTGATGGTCAGCTTCCATGAGAACAGCATTTCTCCTCCAGAGCAACAAGCACAACTTGGGGAATGGCAGTGTCAGGTGCATTGTAAATAAGGATGTGCCAGCTGGAATGTATACTATGGCATGCACACTGGGCAACTGTTGCATTAAGTGATGTTAGCTCAACAACTGATGGAGAACAGAGCCAGTTACAAATAGAATCCCAGGAGGACGGAACTCCATGCTGCCTCAAGAAGCAGGGAGAATGTATAACCTATTTTCTCAATATCAAGTGATGACTGTGTTAGGTTAAGACTGGTTGAGAGGAAGAGCTGGAGAATATATTTTTCAGACACAGATGTCTGACTCCTTCTTTTAATGAATATTTGCTAAAGGTCTTCCACGTGCCAGGACAGCACCACTGTCATCAGTATCAACACCACTGAGATCCCAGCCATCAGTGTACGTATACTGGGTGAGTATATTTTTCAGAAATCATCTCTTTGGCTACTTCTGTTCTCACTTTCTTAAGCTATCATGAGTATTCTGAAAAAACCACTGTAGTCACTATCAGCAAGATATAGGCATACTTAA